AGGTGTGATATGATGATCTGTAGAAACTGGACATGAATGCATGGTAGGGTTTGGGAATAATTAGTGTTTTTCATTGTTCGTGTGTGTTGTATCTCACAGCTGAGGGAACTAGAAGTTAAAACTAAGCTGAGATGTGGAGCTGAGTCAGTTCCCTTTTAATTACAGTTAGTAATCTGTATAGACTGAGGAGGAGAAGAAGAATGTGACCAAGCTTCAGGATCTTGCCGTCAAACTGCAGTACTGTATCTTGTTCTTTGTACTGTACTGTTGTTCTTTGTCCCATTCCATTTCCAAGTCAAAAACCTGATTTATGAGTAAAGTTACAATTTAATGACACTTATGTTTGTTGAAAAGTGTACTCTACTGATCCATAAACAGTTTAAGTGCAATTTGGCTCTATGTTTCTTAATTCAGTTATAAAATCACTTAAAATAGAAGCTCGCCATTAACAATTTTACCTATTCTGTGAAACCAAATTCTGATTCGTGCAAAACATTCAATGCATAGACACAGCTAACAAGCCCCAAATGCAAAAGAAAAAGAATAGAAAAGTTCAAATGTAATTTTAAACAGACACTAATGGCAATCCACTATATACACCCACTATAGTGTGTGTGCCTTTAGGGCTAATTACCCATTTAGCTAGCATCAAATGACTTATTTGCTAATGCTGATATCTTGCCATTAACTCATCAATGTAATGCAACTTGTGTGAGCAAAGAAATAGCTTCAGAATCACTGTAGAGACTCAGCCTTTACTGGGGCATAAAGTTTTCTTCTATTATCCAAAATAAAAAATATCAGTGTGTCACTGCAGTAAAACCACACAGGAAACTGTAAGAGAGAGGGGAACAATTTAATGCCAAATATAAAAGGGACTTTATCAAAGTTTACAAAATTTAAATTAATACATGAAAAAAAAACATTTTCTTTCTTTTTTTTTTCCAAATCTTCTCTTTTAATTATTTTTCCTGGAACGATTTCAGTTTTCACCTATAGTTTTCATGTTACCCTACTACAGGCTATAGTTATGATATATTTGTGATAGCTATCAGATACAGTTTTCTAATTAAACATTTACAACAAGAGCTCCTCTGGAGGGAAGGAAGAAGAACCCAAAGCTCAAGAAGGAGCTCCAAAAACTATGGATGTTTTTATTGTTCGTTTAGAGTGAAAGGGCTTACCTACTACAAAATTTATGCTGTATGTGTATAACAAAACTTAAATTTAGTTATGCAAATTTAAATAGGATTTGTCAAAGCGGGAACCATTAACTTTCCTGTAACCAAGTGAGTATAACTTTAAAACTTTCACAAGATGTCCAACAGCTTACTTGTCCAGGCTCTGAAAAGTCCCAGTTGAGCTCAAGGAAGCCAGAGAATGCTCTGACATTTCTAAGATTCAGTTTTGAGTACCTGGTTCACAGGCTGAGAGCCAAGAGCAGTGATGCTGGAAAGGGAGCTTTTTATTCAGGTGATAGCTAATAATTGCATTAGAATTGTTCACACATACTTTGCTGGTTAAAAGCTTAAAAAAAATGACTAAAAGATTTGAGTCTGACTAACACCACCGTGGATTAATCATTCTATTATTTAATATAGTGAAACAAATTTTTGCAATTTTTGCAATTTCCTAGCAAGCTTCCAAGAAGTGTTTATTGTTGTTTTCCAATTTACTATTCTTAGAAGAACTAAGTAAACAGAAAATAATAAAGTTCTGTAATTAAAACTTTCCCAACAGCGACCACTGTCAGGCCAGTGTTTAAGAATATGTTAGGACTTAACGGGGACTCAACGGCACTTGTAACAGTGAGGCACTTGCTGTTCTGGAATGACAATTAGCTTAGTATAAGCTGAAAACCATTGCAAGAATCCAAGTACTCTCTTGTGGCTTCTTGTTGGCCAGTATTGTCAATGCTATGAAAGCTCAGCAGTATGACAGCAAATTAATAAGAATCCTAATAGTGCTCTAAATTTATGACCAGTATTTGTTGCCAACATAGCCTGCTTGTAAACACAGTGCTGACTGCTGAGTGACCTATTTTAAATGAACCCAGCTTTCATCAAAGGTCACACAGGCCAATAGTAAGTGAAGTGCTCCTATGAGGTTTGGTAAGAAGAAGAAGAAGAAAAAGACGAATCAGAAGAAGACAAAGAACTTTATGAATATTTGTAAAATGATTGATAACTAATATAGTATTACTCAACATTATATTATCTTTGAGGAGTATAATGTAAGACAGTTGTTTTCTTATTTCTTTATTTTTATTTGTGGCACAGCTGGGGTGTCTGCTACAATGGAAAACTACAATGTGAAGGACATGGCTATAACTCAATATTGTATACAGGAGGCTACAGGAGGCATGAAGGAAGTATTAATTAGATGCAGTTAAAGGAGCTTTTGTGCTTGGCACCAGAGGAGGCACAGGTGTTCCAAGCCCCCGGACAGATTGTATTTATGAGATCATATTACACTAGCAGGATGTGAATTTGTGAGCCAGTACATTTTTCGGGGTTAGCTTGAGCATTGTAGTGCACATACCCAGCAGCTGAAAGATATAGTCTCATATGACCGACACAAACTATGGTTCTTTAAACAATGCTGTTAGCATGTCTCTAATGAATAACTGACCAATTAGGCAAGCAGCAATTGTCTGCTTGAAATAAGAGTGAAACTACTACAATTTAATGTTATTTATTTTCTCACTCAAACTACTGAAGTGTTAGGCATTTTTTTCTCATTTCATAGGAAACATTCTACAAGTATGCAAGAAGGCAAGCACTGTTTAGTTCACAATAGAGAACAAACAGTTAAAACTGTGTTCTGTACTTTTTATTTATATGATCATATAACATATAATAGCTCCAGTTCCAGCATGCTAATTAGTATTAGCTTATTAATGATCTGATGCAAAAATATTGTTAAGCACACATAGAGAGTTTTATTTTTAGTCTCACCTCTTCAAGCTTTCTTTTTCCTTCTTGTATTTTTATGTCACTTTACAAGTTACTACATTTCATATTAAACTAATAAGTTACACGGAGAAACAAAATCACCTGAAATTTCAGTCTTATAAAGGGGGCACTCTAGAATGTTCCCCTTCTCTGTCTGTACCCTTTTTCTGAAAACATAAAACAAAGATTAAAGTCAAAGAACGAAAGCCAAAGACACACTACCCATCATTCTCCCAGTGCTACTACCCCGTCATGGAATAATCTAACACTCTTTTAAAGCTTCTTAGGCTCCTCCTTGCCAGACATGGTTGGCATGTTTTTACTCAGTTTAGGGCTTAGTGCAGAGGGCCATCTATAAGCATCTACACACCCAAGGACATTCAAAGGAGAACATTAGTCAGGACAATCAATCTCTACCCATGTACCCATTGGCACCTTCTAAAAAAAGGCTTTTTTATTCACTGTATCCCAGTAGGTTAAGTGTAAATTGTATGATGTTTGGATTCACAGTAATAAAAAAGTTTAAGCAAGAAATCATTAAAAACTTTACATTTGTATACATATGCAAACTTCAAACAGCGTACTTAAAACTATCAAAGGTCAGTTTAAAACTAATTCTGCAACTTGAAGCAGGTTAGAGTCTTTCTGCTCTGGGGTTAATCACACTGGTATTTGGAAGTCTTTGTAATTCTACCGCAGGGATTCATTTATTTGTTGTTTTATTGATGGCAGTGGAGAATACAGTCTAACATATCTGCTTATTTGCTCCCATAGGCATTTCATTGAGTTGAGATCAGATTCATACCATTTTCAAACGCATCAAACCATTAGCTGACCCCTCACACCATCTGGATGAAGGAATTGTCATGCTGGAAGAACCAACTTCCCATTCTGTCCCATCAGAATATAACAGTTTCATCACAGGATAAAGGTGATCAATCAGAACAACTCTGAAGTGATTTACAGTACAAGGCTTTCCTCTAAAGGGGGCCCAAACATTGTCAACAAAATACCTCCCAAAGCAAAACAAAGCCACCAGATCCCCTCACTGTGGGGGGTCAAGCATTTGTGCTTTTTCTTTAATTTGTCAATTGTGTGTATTTGGAACAGTTGTTACATTTTGTCACCAGAGAGGAAAAACAGCATGTATTCAGGGTAGCCCAGCACAGCTTTATTTGTTTTGTTTTTGTTTTTTTGTTTTAGCAAATAACAAAAATGCTGCTAAATTAACATGGATGGAAGGACAGATTGATATTTGCATGATATGTATGAAATAGTGTGTAAGCATAACTATATCAAGATCATGCATACGAAGTTTTTAACAAGCAAGTTGACCCTGTTAGATCTTAAAACATCTATGGCAAATGCTATTAAGGGCGACTGAAAAAAACTGAAGACATTTGACTTTACTTGGGAAGCACGTGTTCTGCATGTTTGCACTGAAAACCCACCTGTGCACAGAGGTTATGGATTACATACCTCAAGGTCACCTCTTTTGAAGAATGAAGGATTGCTAAATTCAAAAAGGCAAAAAAAAAACAACAAAAAAAAACAAACAAACAAAATACAGCTTTGTTTTCCTTTTTACCTTTATGAATTTATTATTAAGCTAAGCCTTAAATGTAAAAATAATCCTGGATATAGTTTTTATTCACTTTACTATTACAGTCCTGGCATCTCTAAAATCTTGTTTATTGCCACAGGTCTTATTTTGGGTCTTATCCCATTCTGGATGGCAACTGTTCATCCACTCCGTTCCAAGACGATATGTAATCTCTTCTAAGCTTTTATGGAATGGCGCTCAGTCTCAGTTCAGACATCTGAGATGTATGCTTGTCCTGCAACTGTACACCAGTGACATTTACATGCTTCTCCAAAACCACAGCCTGTGTCATGACATGTTCCACTAGGATGATTGATAATAACATTGTAGAGAAGCAAGGACCAGACAGGCTTGTATGTTAATTAAATATTATAAGAATATATTTTCTACAAATGGTTCGAATCTTTGATACGTGCGCAACAACTGTTCTACACATTACAGAGCTAAATCAGGTGATACAATGACTGAGCATTAGGAGAAAAAGACTCATTAATCTGTGGATACTAAAATGTGTTTAAATCAGTCGATCTATATGGAATGTTTTGACCTTGCTTTATGGAACAGTTGTTCACTTGCTGCCCCCTTTTTTTATTGGACCACCAAATCTGACATGTGTGAAGAGCAACTGTACACCAGTGACATTTGGTGCTTCTCCAAAGTAAAAAGTACTTCTAATATACCTTCTGCTCTTACTGCTATGATAATAATAATAATAATAATTATTATTATTATTATTATTATTATTATTGATAGAAGTAATAATAGAAATGTATTATTAATAAAAACATTGATGCTCATAAATCGAATTCATCTTTTATATGAACAGCATTTTACACATCTAAATTAAGAAAAGCCTTGTTACATGCCTTGTAAGTTATATAAATTATCAAATGTAAAATATCTGTTGTGTTATCGTTCAAAGTAATCGATCTTGCAGTAATTTTCTTTCATCTTCAATCAGCACTGTGTCTTATGACTGCCCAGTTTGGCCACCTTCTGTTACAAATGTGCTTGCAAAGCAGTTTAATCACAGCAACTGTCACTGTCACGGGATTAACGGCAACATGACAAGAATACATGACCAAACTGAGCGAGGCACACCTACTGAGGAAAAAAGTTTTCCCTCTATAAAAGAGGGTGCTTCAGTCTCAGTCAGCAACTGATAGGCTTCCAACTCAGGTAAGAACATTAACTTCAGCTATTTTGCATTGTGAAACACAATTTTATCATAGCTTTGGGATATTTAACGCTGCACGTTTTAATGCTTTTTTAATTGGTTACGGCTACTACTACTACAACTAATAATAATAATTTTAGCAGTAGTAGTAGTAGCAGTATATTTTGAAATTAATGGACACCCATATTTATTATACTTGATGGTTTGTTATTAGGATTCAAGCAACAGAACCAAGAGTTTACAGTTTTCTGCTGGGACTAAGGAAGGTACATTATAGTGTATTTTCTGTGATATCTGAACAATTCCCAAACACACACATTAGCATGGGGATGTTTATGAAAACAAAGACATATGAAACAAAACTTCTCAACCTCTCAATTTCAGCCCCCTAAAGTTCCATCATGAGCACAGATGCAGAGATGGAGGCCTATGGCCCTGCATCCATTTACCTCCGAAAACCTGAGAAAGAGCGATTAGAGGCTCAGAACACTCCTTTTGATGCCAAAAGTGCCTACTTTGTAACTGATGCTGATGACATGTACGTGAAGGGTAAACTCATCAAAAGAGAGGGTGGCAAGGCAACTGTTGAGACACTTACAGGAAAGGTAAGTAAAACAATTAATTCTTCAACTTTCTTAGAAAAGATTAGACTCATTTTATGGATTATGTAATGTACTATGTTAAAAAAGGTTTTGTTTCATTTTATTCTTTTTCAAATGCAGACAGTCACTGTAAAAGAGGATGACATCCACCCCATGAATCCTCCAAAGTTCGATAAAATTGAGGACATGGCCATGATGACCCACCTCAATGAGCCTGCCGTGCTGTTTAACCTCAAAGAGCGTTTTGCATCATGGATGATCTATGTAAGCTTTAATCTCATAATATACTTTGCTTGTATTTTCTCTGAGTAACAACTATATATATGTTTCTGTTTCTTTGTTATTACAGACTTACTCCGGCCTCTTCTGCGTCGTGGTGAATCCCTACAAGTGGCTTCCTGTGTATGACGCTCAGGTTGTCGTGGCATACAGAGGCAAGAAGAGGATTGAGGCTCCACCCCACATCTTCTCCATCTCTGATAATGCCTATCAGTTCATGCTCACTGGTAAAATCAAAGTTAATTAAAGATTCAGGTGCATGGGACAATGAGGATTGTCAACTGTAGGTTTAATATGCGTGTGCTCTTATATTTCAGATCGTGAGAATCAGTCTATCCTCATTACGTAAGTATAACAAAACATTACAAGAACACTTCTTTAGTAAAAATCATAATAATATTGCAAAGTAAAAATCATGCTTTAATTCCCCAGTGGAGAATCTGGTGCAGGAAAGACTGTAAACACCAAGCGTGTTATCCAGTATTTTGCAACAATTGCAGTAGCTGGAGCTAAGAAAGCTGAAACATCCTCAGGAAAAATACAGGTAAAATTGTGTTCAAATCAAATGTGTTTGTCACAGGTGATTGCTGCTGCTGATTTTAAACAGCTGTTTGATGTCTCTGTGTAGGGTTCACTGGAAGATCAAATCATTGCAGCTAACCCTCTGCTGGAGGCATATGGAAATGCCAAGACTGTGAGGAATGACAACTCCTCTCGTTTTGTAAGTATTCGTGTTCTGGACTCTAAAATTATTTTCTTACACCTACTGTTATCTTGAGCCAAACTGACATTTTGTGGTGAAATTTCAGGGTAAATTCATCAGAATTCACTTTGGCTCCACTGGAAAGCTAGCCTCAGCTGATATTGAAACATGTAAGTTAGCGTTATTTTCCTTTTGTAGTGAGTAGTATAAAAATGAAATGCTTTGTACTGTTTGATCATCACACTTCCTATTCAACAATTGTTCACAGATCTGCTGGAGAAGTCCCGTGTCACCTTCCAGTTGTCTGCTGAGAGAAGCTACCATATCTTCTATCAGCTGATGACAGGCCATAAGCCTGAGCTCCTGGGTATGTGATGAACTGAACAAGACATACTGTAAATTACTTTCCATACCCCGAGTTGTTTTAAAGAAAAGAATAGTCTTTATCTGGGAACCACTCCAATTAAGCTACTTCTTTTGTTGTTTGGGGAAAAAAAGAAAACATTATTAATTAAATAACTTTTTAAGGTGCTACCTCTCCTCTCTCTCTCTCTTTCTGTTTCTCAACCCACTATATCCTCACACCCACCCAAACATATAATTTCACACATACACACATGCACAACAGAGCCTCATAGTGTAAGGTTATGTTTTTAACATATAATAATCTTGAAGTTACTGTTGGTTTCACTGTTTTCTTCCCCCAGTTTTCCTAACCTAGTCACTTTCTTCTCTGTGTTATATAAATCCTTATGTCAATCACTAATCTTGCACAATTAAAAAACAATAAGGAAATAACCATGTTCCACTCAAGCATTTCTTCTACTTTCTTCTAGAGGCTCTTCTAATCTCCACTAACCCTTATGACTATCCAATGATCAGTCAGGGTGAAATCACAGTCAAAAGTATCAATGATGTGGAGGAGTTCATTGCAACAGATGTAAGTTGATGGTAATGTGTAGAATAAAGGCAGACTGTCACAATAACTTGTTTAAAAGTTAATGCTGTGCTTGGATTACAGACTGCTATTGACATCTTGGGCTTCAGTGCTGAAGAGAAGGCGGGCATCTACAAGCTGACTGGTGCTGTGATGCATCATGGTAACATGAAATTCAAGCAGAAGCAGCGTGAAGAGCAGGCTGAACCTGATGGCACTGAGGGTAAATGAGAAAAATCTACTAAATCTGTTGATTCACAGAAGATTAGAGTCTAACTTGGGCTAACTAAATATTTTCCAGTTGACCAAAAGCATTAAATTTCTATTTATCAATCAGTGGCTGATAAAATCGCCTACCTCATGGGTCTGAACTCAGCTGACATGCTGAAGGCTCTGTGCTACCCAAGAGTTAAAGTTGGCAATGAGATGGTGACTAAAGGTCAGACCGTCCCACAGGTAAGTGAGTAAAAGTTTTAAAATATTTGCATTTTGACATATGAACATATACTATTATTTATCTATTCATTTATTTAATTTTGAGAAAAACTAATTTAAATTCTCTTATTCCAGGTCAACAATGCTGTCTCAGCTCTGTGCAAATCCGTATATGAGAAAATGTTCTTGTGGATGGTTATCCGTATCAATGAGATGCTAGACACAAAGCAGCCCAGACAGTTCTTCATTGGAGTGCTGGATATCGCTGGATTTGAGATCTTTGATGTGAGCATTTCAAAAATGTGAGACCAGATTTAAAGATAAATATGATTTTTTTTCATGATATGAATTAGCTTTCTGTTACCACAGTTCAACAGCTTGGAGCAACTCTGCATCAACTTCACCAATGAGAAACTGCAACAGTTTTTCAACCACCACATGTTTGTCCTGGAGCAAGAGGAGTACAAGAAAGAAGGCATTCAATGGGAGTTCATTGACTTTGGTATGGATTTGGCTGCCTGCATTGAGCTTATTGAGAAGGTAAGACCACTCAGATGTGCCGCTCAGGACTAAAATGGCAGTTTCTGACTAGGTACTAAAATACAGATTTTTCCTGAATACAACTTCTCTTTTCAGCCAATGGGCATCTTCTCCATTCTTGAAGAGGAGTGCATGTTCCCCAAGGCTACAGACACTTCTTTCAAAAACAAGCTGTATGATCAGCATCTTGGCAAGAGCAAAGCATTTGAGAAGCCAAAGCCTGCAAAGGGTAAAGCAGAAGCACACTTCTCCCTGGTTCACTATGCTGGTACAGTGGACTACAATATCACTGGCTGGCTGGACAAGAACAAGGACCCACTGAATGACTCAGTTGTGCAGCTCTACCAGAAGTCATCAAACAAACTGCTGGGCTTCCTGTATGCAGCCCATGCTTCAGCTGATGGTAGGAAATAAATAATGTAAAAAAAATACAGGGCAGCTGTGGCTACAACTGTAGCTTGCCTCCACCAGTGTGTGAATGTGAGAGTGAATGAATAGTGGCATTGTAAAAGCGCTTTGGGTGCCTTGAAAAGCGCTATATAAACCCAATCCATTATTATTATTATTATAACCATTTGTGAATACTCATTAAATATGTTTCCTCTAGGAAATGAAGTTGAATCAGTGATCACACAGTTATTGTTTTCATTGAAAATATGGTTTAAAATTAAATTATTGTAAAACACTCACTATAGCATTAGTTATTCAGTTCTCTTAATTAAGTGTATTGAACAACAGATGCTGCTGGTGGCGGCAAGAAGGGTGGTGGAAAGAAGAAGGGTGGCTCTTTCCAGACCGTGTCTGCTCTTTTCAGGGTATTTTGAACCGCCGCAAAAAAAATATCAAGATCCTATTCAAATGTATTGGTTTATTTTAAGCAGCTAACATTTGTTTAAATATGCCCCCCCCAGGAAAACCTGGGCAAACTGATGACCAACTTAAGGAGCACTCATCCTCACTTTGTTCGTTGCCTGATTCCCAATGAGTCAAAGACTCCAGGTAAAAAGCACACAGTCATACTGATTTTAAAAAATGTTTAAAAAAAAGTGACATGTTTAAATGATCTAAACTATATGAATTTTTAACTTTCAGGTCTTATGGAAAATCATTTGGTCATCCACCAGCTGAGGTGTAATGGTGTCCTGGAGGGCATCAGAATCTGCAGAAAGGGTTTCCCCAGCAGAATCCTCTATGGTGACTTCAAGCAGAGGTGACTTCTGTTTTCTTTATAAGAAAGTTAAAATAACTTCAAAGGTACTGAAATGGAAAACACAAGGACAATGGGCGCAAAATCCAAGTAACATCACTATATTTTCTTACAGATACAAAGTGTTGAATGCCAGCGTCATCCCTGAGGGACAGTTCATTGACAACAAGAAAGCTTCAGAGAAGCTGCTTGGCTCCATTGATGTGGATCACACACAGTACAAGTTTGGGCACACGAAGGTACACTTTATGATGACCTTTACAACCTCCAGTTGTATTAAACAGAACTAATTCATGTGAACTAATTTGTTTCACTTCAACACAGGTGTTCTTCAAAGCTGGTCTGCTGGGCACTCTTGAGGAAATGAGAGATGAGAAACTGGCTGAGCTGGTGACCATGACTCAGGCTCTCTGCAGAGGATTCCTCATGAGGAAAGAGTTTGTGAAAATGATGGAGAGAAGGTATAATTCAGAAACAATATGTAAAATTACTATTTAAATATCATGTGATGTTACGCAAAAGCAGTATATCAAAGCATGGTAATTTGCGTTGTTTTTGTAGAGATGCTATCTTCAGCATCCAGTACAACATCCGTTCATTCATGAATGTCAAGAACTGGCCATGGATGCATCTGTACTTTAAGATCAAGCCTCTTCTGAAGAGCGCTGAGACTGAGAAAGAGTTGCAGAACATGAAGGAGAACTATGAGAAGATGCAGACAGACCTGGCTACTGCTCTGGCAAAGAAAAAAGAACTGGAAGAGAAGATGGTCAGCCTGCTGCAGGAGAAGAATGACCTGCAACTTCAAGTAGCAGCTGTGAGTAACAAGGGGGAGGAGAAAATACATGTTCTATTATAATAATGCTCAATTAGCTGAAAAATAACCACATATTAGTCTATTTATCAGTATGACTTTTTGGCTGGTGTTTGGCTGTGAGATGTGCTGTAACTGAGAACTGTGCTGAATTGCTGTAATTAAAAACATAATAATATTCTTTATTTATAAAAGTATGATAATAATT